AGAATGAGAAATATAATGAACTCAAGTCTAATGCTTTAATTATTATCATAGGAAGGCCTTCTCCATTTGATAGCAGTATGAACACATTATTAAATTCAATTGAATAAACTTTCCTTCAGCTAATGATTTTGCAAGCATACGCATTTGGTTTCCAAGCTTTCCCATGAGAACACAGTGATCACAGATAAAAAGTTGTTTCTCAACTCTTTCTTCCTCCACTCTACCTAGAAATCAGTGTGACAAAGTTTGAAATGTATAACTCAATTGCTAGATGCATACAAGTATAGACTTTTTGAAAGATTATATAGAATTAGGCTAACCAGAAGTTGAGGGGTTCGGTGTGAGAATTAATTAGCCCAGGTGCCTCAGTTTCCTGGAGTGAGAACACAGCTATGTGTTAGGGGCTTGTCATTAGCACATTTTATCTAAGTATATAAGAACAGCGGGGCTTGGTGACACAACTTGTAATCCCAGAGCTTTGGGAGGCCGAGGTGAGTGGATTGCCTGAGCCAGGGGGTTCGAGACCTGCCCAGGCAACTTGGTGAGACCTCATCTCTACAATAAATAAAAATTAACTGGGCGTGGTAGCGCGCACCTGTAGTTCTGGCTACGTGGAAGGCTGGGGTGGAATGATTGCTGGAACCCAGCAGGTCGAGACTGCGGTGGCCGGGAGTGTGCCACTGCACTCCAGTCTGGGCGAGAGAGTGAGACTCCAACTCAAAAATAAATAAATAAATAAGTATATAAGAACATACACTTACACTTCATTTGTAAAATACCAAAAAATATCTTCCCAAAAATCAAAATGATAAAATCAAGTTATATATTCTAGCAGACGTTTCTCATGGATTTTTGAAATTCGGATGCAATGTTTTAGTTTAATTCACTAATTTTATTTGTTAAAATAGTTCTTAAATTTGTTTAAGATGACTTCTCTAAATACTTTGACCTCTTTGAATCTATTTTAGGATTTAAGCAAAAGTTGAGGGTTTAATGTTGTCCCAGATTTCTTCCTTTTCTAGTGTCTAGACTCAAAGGATTTATAACTGTATAGTTGATTTTAAAAGATTAACGCATTCTAGAAATTAACTTCAATTATCTCTTTAATGTTGAAAGCAGCTGTGAGTGCTTACTATGTTTCAGGCATTGTGCTAACTGGCTTGCATGTATCATTTTATTAAACCCTCACATAGCTACACACAGAGAACCACACTCTATAATGAAGGTGTTAGAAGTAAAAGCTTAGAAGCTTAGAAGAAAAGGACCGAGTACACTTGTGTAAGGTGACTCAGATAAAATTAGCAGTCAGAATTTGAATAGGGTCAGTCTGAATCCAAAGTTTATTTTCCGTCAACATGCCATACTGCTTGAATCTTATTCTTATTTATTATCATAGTCCTTGGAATTCATGTAGAAAGTCAAATTTGCTTTTGGGGTTTACAATTCTGAGAGAGTCAATAGCATATAATTTCCTTATTAACATAACCAGGAATATTGAAATAAGGAGAAGGAACAGGAAAGGAAGAATTAGAATTAGAAGAAGTTCGAGTATATTTGTCAGAACTCTTTAGTCTGCAAGTAATGGAAACCCAACTGAAACTCACCAAGCACACAAAGATGATTTGTTTCATGTGACTCAACTAAGTTCAGGCAAAGTTGAATTCAGGTATAGTACTCAAATGATGTCTCAAGGAAGCTGATTCTGCACTTCTTGACAATGCTTTCCTAGGAGCTTATTCTAGGGAGGCCTTCCCAAGTAATGGAAAAAATGGTCATGAGTAACTTATTTCAGATTCACATTCTCCATGCTTGGAACCATGCCAAAATATCTTAATCATGGGGAGTGGGCAATTCAAAACTAACATTTTACTGTATAGATTTTACAACTGTCAAATTAAAAAATAATATTCCTTCTAATGTGGGCATCTGGGTCCCAGAGTCTCTCTTCATATATTCCACTGCCCTTTCATGAATTTAAGAGTGTCTTATAAAGGTTTATGAGTTTTTCTACATGGAACATTGAGTCAGCTCCAAAGAGACTCCCAGGTGTGAAGAATAAATTGATGGCATTAGTATATGTTCTTCAGGTCCCCAGTAGCTGATATCTCAAGTGCTTCAGCAGTTGAATATATTGCAAAGCTGGTAATGAGATAAGGCAAGACTTTCTTCTCTCAGATACAAGTTAACAGGAATTAACTACACATAGTCTAGTACATATGAGAGACAGCTGAGCTACATTTCTCTCAGTGATATCATAAGATAGATACTGAAATGGGAATGTAAAAAGTTTAGGTTACAAAAATTTTTTAAATGGGTGACTAAATTACATGCATGTAATAAATATTAAGGGAGAAATTTCTTCTAAGAAAGGAACTTGTATCTCAAGAGATGTCTCCTTGTTTTAAAAATTCACACCATATTTCTGAAATACGAGAACAGACATTGCAGCAAATAACTTTTGCCTTATTTTTAGAAAAGTTTTTTTTTTCCTAAAGCTACCATGCAAAACCTTCCCTTGCTATACAAGGTAATGTCCTGACTTATAGCAATAAAGTGAACCAGGGTTAAAAGGCAAGAAAATGCCCATATTAGTAGATACTAGTGCAAATGCTACATGTGGCTAATACTCTAAAATTAACAAATTAGCTCCTGACTGACCTGTATCTGAGTTGTGTCTTTTAGCTAAGAACATGAAATGTATAAAAAATACATCTTCTGAGTAAAAGGGAAAGGGTAAATATCCCTACCCCCAACCACGAAGTTTAATGGCTGCAAAAAGAAACAAATGCCCATAGGGATGTAGCAAAGATCACATCCAGACCTAGCTGTTTTTCAGCCCAAGTGCCTTATACAATGGAATTGACCTTGCCCTGTGAGCTTCACTCTGCATCTCTAGGTTAACGATAGTGTTTGTCCCAGCTCTGCACGGTGAACAGTGGATAATTAATTATTGAACCAAATCCTTCAGAAGCATTCAAGCTGTAACTAACCCTTTACCATGCTGAGAGTATTAAAGTATTTAAAACCATACCCAGTTGCCTGAAGATCAACACTTCAAGGCTGAATGCCCTACGACCACCACTAACACAACCATCACATGGAAAATCTAGGCAGGCACACTTGTACTTAAGTAGCTGAAATTAAAAAGTCATACAAATCTCTTACTCTAGAAATCCAGTATTGAGGTACTATAAATTAATTCATGTCCCATCCCATTTTAAACAGACTTGGATTGGCTTTAAATGCCTTTTGGACAAACGTGTCAGAGGAGAACAGGATAAGGTTTCCAGAAATGTGCAAATGTTAAAATGCAGTCTGAAAAAAAGTTCAGGGACACCTGATTTCTTTTTCTTTTTCTTTTTTTTTTTTTTTTTTGAGTTGGAGTCTCACTCTGTCGCCCAGACTGGAGTGCAGTGGCCGCTCCTGGCCACCACAGCCTCGACCTGCTGGGCTCCAGTGATCCTTCCGCCTCAGCCTTCCAAGTAGCTGGAACTACAGGCGCGCGCTACCATACCCGGCTAATTTTTTGATTTATTGTAGAGATAAGGCCTTGTCAAGTTGCCGAGGCGGGTCTCGGACCCACAGGCTCAGGCAATCCACTCACCTCAGCCTCCCAAAGCGCGGGATTACAGGCTGAGCCACCGAGCCCGGCTGACTTCTTTTTCTGATAAAAAGTGAGTGTATGTGCAAATCACATGCCCAGAGACATGTCTGCATGCATAAGCATGCTCCTTAAATGTGGTAGACAAGTCTCTTCCCTACACAAGAATATCCATCTTTTTCCATTTTCAGGAAAAGTAATAGAAGATATTCGAGGAGACACTGGAATCAATTATTTAATCCCAAACATTTTGATGTGTGCACATTCTTGAGAGATAATGACCTGTTTTTGTCTTGCTGGTAGTCTTGGAGTCCTTAGGTCGAGTTTACTGTTTAAGTTTTGTGCGTAAGAAGAAGTTATGTGTGAAAATATTGGGCTCCAGCACAGGCAGAGTTTGAAGGTCCAAGTTTGCTCTGATGTTTGACAGTGGCATCTTGGAGCCTCCTGAAGGCCCTCATCCTAGCATCCCTAGCAAAAGAAAGAGAAGAAATGGGTATAACCGCCCACCCAGTTGGAGACTCCCACTGCAGAGCAGATCTGCCCAGAAACCTTGCACTCCTCTCTTTTTTCCCCCGGTGCCTTCACTGGAGAGCAAAAGACCCCATACACTTCTCTGGTTCTAGTTAAATAATATCTGCAGTTGTGTTGGAAAACTAGCCCCTTGTGGGCAACTATTTTGCATGTCTCTGGGTTTTACAATTTAATGTAAAACAATAACCCTGTGTCTCCCTCTCCTCCACTCTCCACCATCCTATCTGGAGTTCCTTTCTAGCCAGTCCTCAACCACCACCTCTCCCCCTCCCCTTTCCCCCACTCCATCAGACTCTGAAGTGTCACTCACAGTTTTTTTTTTAATGCTTCCAACAGTTTCCAAAACAAACAGTGGAGGCTGTGACCAGCAGGATATTCACTCAGTCGGATGCAACAGTATCTCCCAATCCAAGCAGCCTGAGCCGCCATTGGTGGCAGGTTTGCTCCCTAAAAGGCCCATGCTTGCCAATCTCTGCTCTCTGCCAGGTCCTGGAATCAAGGATTTGAAGACTGATGGTCCGCACATGTCCACCGGGAAGGAGAAGACTGTAAAAGAAAGGGGGACTAGACTCTGAAGGATTAGACCACAGTTTGATCTTCCTTACCTTTCATTTTGTTTAGTCAAAGAAAAACATATATAAATTACACACACACACACACACACACACACACACACACACACACACACACAATTTTTTTCTTTCAATACTATTGATTCAGAAATTGCTTTTTGGATTTTTTGTTTTAGTTTTTTGTTTGTCCGCTTTCCCTCTCTCGTCTACACTCTGCGCCCTCTCTCTCCCCTTCTCTCCCTCATTCAGCTCAGGTTGAAACTTTGCTGTGACCATTCCCTTCGACTCCTCCAGGGATGGCTTTGAGCTCTCGGGCGCACGCTTTCTCCGTGGAAGCCTTGGTGGGGAGACCCAGAAAAAGAAAACTACAATACCCAAGAGAGGAGGCGCAGGCTGAGCTGCAGGAAAGACAGGGCGGAGAGGAAGAGGGGGAGAGAAGGAACCGCGCTGCAGGGAAGAGCAAGCAGCCGGGTAAGTACTCCCAGGACCCTGAGACCGCCGCCCGCGCTTGTTAGATCCCCACCTCTCAACCTGACTCGCCGCGCTGCGGAAGCGAGGGGAGCCCTACTCCAAAACGTCCTGGCTCAGCCAGCCAGATAGCCTCACCGGAGTCCGCGGAACACTTCGGCCACCTAGTTGTAGAGAAGTTTCAGCGCCTTCAATCCTGCCCTGAGTACTGTGGTTCCTTTGCGGTAAAGGGGAGGTTCCCTACATGCTTGTGTAGAAATGAGGCTCACTAACCTCCTTCTTCTCCCAGCCTCCTTCCTCCCCGCCACCACCAAAGCCCTGAGAACCAGAGAAGGTGGTTGTAGCTGAGGGTAGGAGCATGGTGCCTCCTCAGATACCAAGGGATTCCAGACTCCGATAAAAACGTCTCCAGGAGAGTAAGGATGGGCAAGTCGAAAAAAAGGGTCGCACCTTTCACGGGGCACGACCTGAATTCCTCTTTCTCTATTATGAGACCACAGAGGGTGTTGTGCGGTGCTTAGGGATCCGCCACCAGGGTTCCTGGGGGAAAGGATATGGCCCTGCCTGCTCCAAAATAGGCGCCAACGCAAAGGGAGTGCGCGAATTGTGAAGTTCTCTCAAACCCTGGGCGTCTCTGTGTCTGGCAGAAAAGCGACCCGGAACAGAACCCTCGACAACTGCTTTCTCCGATTGTGGTGGTGGCGACAGCAATGACAACAGCCGCGAAAGTCTGGGAGAGAAAGATGTTATTCAAGTGGAACTTCAAGGAGCGGAGCTGTGGAAAAGATTCCATGACATAGGGACTGAGATGATCATTACCAAGGCGGGCAGGTTCGATTCTGTACAAGCTGTTCACAAGGGTGGCACACAGTAGGCTCTTAATGTACTGTTCTGGTAAGATGTGGAGTCTCCAGTTTTATGCTCTGGTGCTCCTCCGCTTACTCCCCCCAAGTCCCTGGCAGACATTAGAAAGTCATAGCCCCTTAATTGATAGAGTTAGGACCTATCAGTCACATCAGTGGCTCATTCTTCCTTTCCTGTACATCCGTAACTCCAATAACTCACTCCCGCAGTTCCTGTCTGTATAGTATAAAACAAAAAATCAGACCTTCTGAGGCGGTTTCCAGATGCCAATCCCATATCTTAGACTGTGCCCACACCTCTCAGTTAAAGCCTTGCAGATAGTCAGTGAACAATAACCCATCTCACAGAGCCTCCAGCCCACTGTCCCTGACCTAGGCCACTTTGAGTTGGAACTTTCCTGTGGCCACCTTTTGGAGTGGGGCAGCCCCTTCACAGCAGCTGTGTGAATTTTTTTTCCTGTGAGTTTTCCTAATTTCAGCCTTTCCTAAATATATCTCACAGAAAGTACCCGGGAAAACATGGGAGAGGAGCACAGCTTTTTCTCTCCCACTTTGTCTTTTACATCTTTTGATTATGGTGGAGCAGGGAGCATGGACAAAATTTTGTGGTAAGAATATTCGGCTCCACTTAGAAATCCTGAATTTGTTCAATCAAACATACAGACAACAATCTTTCCTCATATAGCAAATACCAATCCATGAACCTATAGTGGAAGAATCAGAAGGGTATTGTGAATCCCTTGCTGCAGCATTTGTCCATGCCCCCCCCCCCCCATTCCAACCATTCCCAAAAGTTCTTGGATCAGTCTCTCTTTTTTTCCCCCCCCACAGGCGTATGTTTCCCTCTGTTCGGGTCAAGGTGAAAGGGCTGGATCCAGAGAAGCAGTACTCTGTGGCCATTGATGTAGTACCAGTGGATTCCAAACGCTATAGGTAACCAGGACCCATAGAATGGCACTCCAGGCCCAGAATGGGACCACGGGATTCAGACCATTGGACCTGCAAACTGACAGAGCTATTTTGAAAACTCTAGCATAGAGCAGGAGATTGCTTTCCAGTGGTCTTTGTGAGTTTAATCTTCTCACTCATACTGTGGTTCCTCTCTTTGCCTCCCTCCCCTCCTGGAATGCAGGCACCAACTGGAGCTTCAATGTACTCCCAAACTTCTCACCTACCCACTGCTCTGGCCTTGGTTGTGTAAACTGTGAAGGGTATGTGCTCCAGAAGCCAGGAGGGAAGCTGCTTGAAGGAATTTGAGGAGAAAAGTCAAGGCTCTACCTGAGCAGATATTGTGCACAGACCTGTCTTTTCATCCTTCTTTGCTCTTTCCCCAAAACAGTTGCCTGCCTGGTCCAGAGGGTATGAGAACCAATTTCCCTTTATTTAAGCCTTTGGCTTACGACATTCTAAAAGTGTCCCAATTGTTCTAAACTCAAGAAGCCCTTATGGGCTAGCAGCTCAGAAGCACCAGCCTGCCAGCGCTTTGACTCTGGGGAGGGTGGGGGAATGAGAGCTGTCCATACTCTGTGAGCTTTTAATCCAGAGGTGGGTGCCTGACTCTCATAGGAGACAGCTGCCTCTTGCTTCCCACCTCCAATCTCCTGCCCAGTGTGGTTTTTGAGGGCAAGAAGAAAGCATAGCTTGGGAGCCTGCTGGAGCCGCAGCCTGGAAATAACAAAACAAGCAGTTTGCTTCTCCAGTTCCAACTGGTTTGAGAATATGGTTCAAAGCTGAGAGATTTAGATTGGAAACTGTGAAAATCAGCCTGAGGTCGCATGGGGAGGGGTTCCTGGAGGGATTTTAGACCCGAATCCTTATTAGCAAAAGGGCTTCCAGGAGAACTGATGACTGTGTGCCTGCCAGGCACCTTCCTCAGCCCTTCAATTATTTCCCGACAATTCACTCTCCACGCTAGTGGGTTTTTCCGTCGTCTCTGCGCGATACAGCGGGTTAGGTTAATTTCTGTTGCGGTTTCTGTGAGGAAATACAAACCAGACTCGGGAATCCCATGACATTTTGCTCGCCCTGGCACTTCACTGCATTCTGATGACATATGCTTATTTACAGTTTGTTTCCTGCCCCTTAAAGCTCTTTGGAAATCACGTTGAATCTTCTACTTGCCTTTGGGATCAACTGGCTAACCTTGGGCGGGGTCCTTGAATCCGAAATCCGCAGCCTGCCTCCTACACTCCCGACTTTAGCCCGCTGCTCCTAATAGTACAACCCGCGGCTTTTCAGGTACGTGTATCACAGCTCGCAGTGGATGGTAGCCGGAAATACGGACCACTCGTGCATGAATCCCAGATTCTATGTCCACCCGGACTCGCCCTGCTCAGGAGAGACCTGGATGCGGCAGATCATCAGCTTTGATCGCGTGAAACTGACTAATAACGAGATGAACGACAAAGGTCACGTACGTAAGCATAATTCTTTACCCTGAGGAGTGAGGTGTCAAGGCTCCCGCCCACTGGTCACCCTGGAGAAGCTAAAGAGGTTTTCTCCCAGATGTGCATGCTGTGCTTTTTAGGAACTGTCTATGCTGTATACTTGTCAGTAAAGTAGCCAACGTAGGGCTTTTGAAAGCTTTGTTTGGCGTCGGAGAGTGCTGGCGGTTGGGGACGGTGAGCGTCAGGGAATTTGAAAACCAAGAAATACCTGTTTAAGCAAGAATTACTGGTCGAGGAGAGTAGGAGGGAAAGGTTCAGGGGGCTCTCGGGGAGCTTTGCCCTCCAGGGAAATCACTGTGGGCTCCAATTGCTTTCCCATAGGTCATGAAGTCTGATGGGTACACTATTTGTGGTGTAGTAGGAGAATGCAAACTGGAAATCCCAGAATGCAGCATGGAAATCTCCCCCACAAATCTGCCCCTATGGAAGGTCTTTTCAGGTCTCATCCATCCTGCACCTTCTTTCTAGGTGCACCCCTGCTCCCTTCTGCCAATCCCAGCATGGCACTGTGCCAGTCAAAAACGGACAGAGAGAAGCTCCAGGCATTAGAAAGTGGGGAATGTTCAGAAGGTTGCCCATCATATCCAGGTCCATCAGTTACCTCCACAGGAACTCATGGCAGGCGATCAGATCTGGGGACACTTCTACACCAGATGGTCACCCACATTTGGAAGCAGGAAAGGACCCCAATCTGGAAAGGGAATCACTGATGCCAATCTGGAAAGGGAATCACTGATGCCTTTCTCTGGAAAATTTTTAGCCCCGGGGGCCTGTGATGGGGGCCAAATGGCACAACAAAGGCCTTTGTGTATTGCAACCTGAGCCTCCCGGGTTGTTTCCCTTTAGCTTTTGTGTGTGTCTGTGTTGGGGGTGGTCAAGAGAGTGAGCTAGGTCTGGGGAGGGAGTGGAAGTCTGCTTTTTCACAGCGTTTGACCATTTCTCCTCCAGATAATTCTGCAGTCCATGCATAAGTACAAACCCCGCGTGCATGTGATGGAGCAAGTCATCAGGGCTGACTTGTCCGAGATTCAGAATCTGCCCACTGAAGGGGTTAAAACGTTCTCCTTTAAAGAAACTGAGTTTACCACAGTAACAGCTTACCAAAACCAACAGGTAAAGTAAGCCAGGTCACTGGAAAAGGAAAATAGTCCCAGAGGGACCTGGAGATAAAGGCTAGCTGCACTCTATGGATTGCATTTTCCACAAATGAAAATAAATCATACTTTCATTGTATTATTAAGGTAAGTTTGATAATGAATTGTTTAAATCTTATATGAAGAAACAATCTCAGAATGTAATTTCTGAAAAAAAAATATTTATAAATAGATACTAACCATTCCAAATTTTATTTAGCAATATGCTTACATTTATTTAAACTGTCATATCACACATTGCAAAGTATTTTGTGGTTACTGTAACCATCATAAGCAATGGTAACAGTGTGTTACTGAGAGCAACGATTTTATATTACTCTCTCTTTTTAATCCATAGATTACCAAACTGAAAATAGACAGAAATCCTTTTGCTAAAGGATTTCGAGATCCTGGAAGAAACAGGTAAACAACATAACGATGACATCTAATATTTATGTTTCCCTTTTCACAATTATTAAAGATAAAGAAACTATGATGACCTCATAAGCTTTAAGTTTTGTTACTAGTAGATGGTAAGAAAGGAACCCAGATATTGTGTCTTCAAAACCTTGCCTCTTCCTACTCCCTCCTCTACCCACTTTTAAAATACTATTTATTTTAAGAACCCTGGGTTTGACTGAATTTTATACAGAAGTCTAGCTATAAAATAAAAATATTTCAAGCAGTCGCATCTAAAAGATGTAACAAAATCTCTCAAACGTTTACATGAATCATTATTTTCAGAAATTGCATTTTGGGGTTGTTGAAAGTTGAATCTCTTTTTTAGGGGTGTATTGGATGGGCTTTTAGAGACCTACACTTGGAGGCCTTCTCTCACTCTGGATTTTAAAACCTTTGGTGCAGACACACAAAGTAAGATCATTTGTAACCTTAGTTTTATTTTTGCATATTAATGAAATAACAGCCAGAACACTTGTACCAAATACTACACAAGAGAATAAATATATGCCAGAAAATGCGTGTTTAGGAGCAAGTGGGTGTATATTCAACTCAATGAGAAGGCAAAGAGGAAGAGGAGCTGGTATGAAAGAAGGGAATAGAATTGTGGTTGACATCTGTCCTGAGTTATCTTACACCCTGAGATTTGCAAATCTCCTCTGAATTTTCAGTTTCTCACTGGCTCATATTCTTTAGGATATGCTTATAGTGTGTGTGTGGCCCGATTTACATTAGATATTGAAATGAATATTTTATGTTTTACAAAATACTTTCAACATATGTTAAAATGAAATTCATTAAATCACATCACTAAGTTCTAATTTTTCTGTTTTTGTTAGTGAAGAAAGTAAATATTAAAAATAATACTCAGTCATCACAGTTAAATTAGTTGTGGTGAGCATTTTAAAATACTTGCAAGGTATTTGTTCTCAGTACATTACATTACTAAATAATAATACTACTAATAATCAGATAATGCAGGCTTTCTGGTGCAAAAATGTATACCATAATTTATTCTGAGACAATGAATAGAATAATTTTTATTTCCAAACAACATGGAATTAATTTACCCCTTTTGTCTTCACTCCAGCAAAGTTGAGTTTTACATTATGCCATAACAACCAACTGAAATCTTAAATTAAGTCAATAATTTGGTGAAACAGTTCAATGGAATGACTGTATTGATGTGGTTTAGGGAGTTTTACACAAAAAATACGAACACTTATTTTACAGCATCAACGTAATGCCATCTAAGTATCATGCTTTAAAAATATTCAATTCAACACAATGTACATTAATTAGAAAAGAAAAAACTAAAGAAGATTATTAATTCATAATTTAAAATACACAATTTTCTCAATTATATAAAAAGTCCAGAATTTTCTCAAATTTCAAAGAAGAGTGGCTAATTTTTAAAATAATTTTTGAATGTTTTATTATAAAAAATATATTTGCCACCTTGTTGATGAAGGATTAGGCTATGTCTACATACAGAGAATAGTTAAGAAAAAGACAGCAACATCAAAAAAAAACTTGATCAAGTCTAATCATTAACCAGTTACTTGATAGAATTCAAACATTTTCCAAAATCGGGCTTAGAGTCCTAGATTTTCCTGAACCTTATAATTATTCTTAATTTCAGTAGATGCTAAGCAACCATAAAAGATTACCTGACATCATTGACATAAACACTCTTCATTCTCATCTTGATGTTTTGTGTCTTGCAAAATTGTCTTCAACTATTAATGTAGTACACCATAAAAGTATCCCCATCCATGATTTTTTATTAAGAAAAATAGGCCAATGCTTTTGTTTGTTTGTTTTGAGTTGGAGTCTCACTCTGTCCCCCAGACTGGAGTGCAGTGGTCGCTCCTGGCCACTGAAGGCTTGAACTGCTGGGCTCTGGCGATCCTTCCACCTCAGCCTTCCAAGTAGCTGGAACTACAGGCATGCGCTACCACACCCAGCAAATTTTTTGATTTATGGTAGAGATGAGGGCTCGCCAATTTGCCCAGGCGGGTCTCGAACCCGCGGGCTCGGGCAATCCACTCACCTCAGCCTCCCAAAGCACGGGATTACAGACTGAGCCACCGAGCCCGGCTCTAATGCTTTTAAATGTGCTGTTTTCATTTATACAGGATTATTTTAATATACACTAATTTTTTATCAGACCAAAACTGTCTGTAGACTCCCAAACAATCCATCAATTTGTTCAATTTACTTAACTACTTATTTCAGTAAAAATTTTTAAATTTTTTAAAAAAAGCTAGTTTGTGTTTGTAAGATATAATTGGCTCTGAGTCATAATTGGGCTTCTTCTGTAATTTTTGGACAAATGTGGTTCAAGTGCCTGGTATAATCTTTGAGCATATTGAATGCTCAAGACATGATACATAGTAGCAGTGCTAAAAGTAATAATAATAGTAGTAGAGAATCTATATGCAACTTTGATCAAAAGAATGAGCATATCCTTTCCCAAAGAAGCTAAAAGGACTGTGAACTTGCAAAGGAAAGCTTCCCTACGAATGAGCAGATATGGTGATGAATATGATTACTGGTTCTGCAGGAATTCAAGTTTATTATTCATTGAATTGTCATTCACAGGTGTAAGCAGTGGCTCATCTCCAGTGACCTCTAGTGGAAGGGCTCCCTCTCCTTTGAACTCCTTACTTTCTCCACCTTGCTCTCCACCTACGTTTCACTTACCTACAAGTTCCCTTGGAATGCCCTGTTCAGAGGCATACCTGCACAATATCAACTTGCCCCTTTACTACAAGATTTGTCCAACTAATTTTTGGCGACAGCAACCTCTTATCTTACCTGCTTCTGAAAGGTTAGCAAGCAATAACAGCTCTCAGTCTTTTGCCCCTTTCGTGATGGAAGTGCCCATGTTATCTTCCCCAGGGGTCACTAATTCAAAAAGTGGTTCATCTGAGGACTTCAATGAGCAATGTCTACAAGAAGCTAATTCTGCTAGTCAAATATTATGTGGATTACAGCCACCTGGAAACATTTTCCCACCAAGCCCTACTGCCCAAGAAGCACTTGGTTGCTGTTTCCATCCTTCCTATGGCTTTTATAGGTACAACTTCTCTATGCCATCTAGACTGGTAAATGCTTCCAACCATGTCAAAGTGAATGACAAAATTCAAGTTTCTTTTAAAGAAGGTAAATGTAATCATACTCATTGGTATCCAACAATTGACCATTACCTTTAATGAAACAATCACATTCCTAAAACAATTATATGTAAACACATATTTTCTTTATTTGTAGCCAGACAGCATTGCCCTGTTATGTATTTAACATGCTTTATCAAATATTCATGAGGAGTTGTTTATGATGTCAAATGTAACCTATAAGAATCTTTGATTTCAGTGACCTTGGGCCTCAAAATAGATATTCATTATATATTACTTCATGAGAAAGCCCACCAGTGAAAATTGATGCCAAGTGATAAGGCTTTCAATTACAGTGAAGTCAATTTATCATGCTAACTGCCTTTTACATATTGCAATGACCAAAGGAAGATGGATATAATTCCTGTGAAAACATTGAAACAATTTTAATTTTATCTACAAACATTGGCTTAATTGTAATTTTCTATCTAGTAATTGTAGAAGAAAATTTAATTGTTTGCTTGCCTTATACAATTACACTCTACTGTTGAAGGAACTACTACTCCCACTTTCAAGGTACACATAAAGACACAAACTTTCAAATATTATTTTTAATTAATCTGTGTAGCCTAAAGACCATTAATCCTGAAAGAACACAGTGATTAACTGAAAAGCAAAATATTCTAAATGAATTTGATCTTTTATTTTTGGATCATCCCTAAATGAAGTTTTTTTACTTATTTTTTTAACAAACCTAGTATTTGATATATTATGTAGGAGAGTGTTGAAGGGAAAGAACACATTTGCATCTATAAATATAAACAAATATGCAAATAACATATTAGTAGAATTTAATTCCACTCTTGTGTGTCAGTCATGATAAATTACACTAGACAAAAATAGAATAAGACTTTATTTTAGTATATGAAGTTAAATAGTTTCTTTTCACCAGGACCTACATTTTTGAAAAATAGTATGATGCATATATATAGCTTGTATATCTTTAAGATGAAACAGATTTTTATTTTATCCCACTAATTTTAGCCCTTTTATTAAGCCAAGTCACTTCATACCACAGTGGTATGACCTATCTTTTAACAAACTAAACTAACTGCTAAACTATTTTTTTCTAATTTTTTATCACATATCAGAAAGAGCATGTTATTACTTATTTTGCTCAAAATGATTATTTTATCCTAAATATGCCTTATAAATGTGTCTTCCTACATATGTATTAAAATTATATGTCCTTTATCCTGGGAATAGGAATAGAACAGAACATGATTGCTTCCAAATTAAGTATTCTCATCAAGGTGAAATATTATATGTGACCTAAACTAATGAAATACCTGTTGGAAAAGTCTTTGAGGCATAAAATCTATACTACCTAAATTTATTAAATTGGTAATTAAAAGCAAAAAACACACTTTATTTTTGTCTACTCCAAAAGGAAAACTTTATGCTAGATTTAACTGGTAAAATTAATTATTACTTTTTAAACAGAAATACCTATATCAGGTTATAATGAAACTTAATCTGACGGGTTACATGAAAGAACCTCAGTAATTGATAAGATAATGTATTTAACTGAAAAATTCAATAAATCTCTTGGCTACTTCTTAAGTGATTATTTAAAAGAAGAAATTAATTTTCATAGTTGCTCCAGAATACATATACTTCATATTTTATGCTTTAGATAATTTTACTATATAGTACCCATATAAATGCATAATATGGAATTACACTGGCAATGGTGATTAATATAAAGGGGCAGAAGTTTAAATGCTAGAAGCTAAACATTTATCTTAAACATTTATCTTAAGCTACTTTATATTATGTTCATAAATCGCCACTTTGCATTTTAATTGAAGAAGTAACCAAGGGAAAGTTTTTTTATAGAGAATTAGACTTGGAAGAAGTCTTAAGAGGTTCAGTAGGCAGTCCTCTGCTTCTAAGCAAGTTACTCATCTGTAGAAATGTGCTAACAGCTCTAATTCATGAACAATAAATAGTTAGTGCCCTAACCATTTTCTGTTGAATAAATTCTTACTCCTTGATGGGTGGGGCAAAACTCAAGTAATTTGGTAAATTGAGGTATGATTTTGGAATAAAAAACAAAATGCTATGGAATTCCATCACTTTCAACCGTATTAACTAAATATTAGGCTTGCTTTAAAAACCTACAAAAATCAAAAGCCACTTGATTAAGACAAAATGTGAAACAGCAAATAAAAGTGGCTAAATGATACTTAATAGACCCCCAAGTCTAGTAATTATGACCTCTATTTCTATCTGGTTTGACCATACATATATGATCATCTTTTCCCCATTTTAAAATAAAATGTCTTAATTAAGGTAACTAAATGTATGAAATCTGATTTATAACCTTACCTGTTTTATGACTTAACCCAAATAAATCTAAGGAAAATGAACTTCCATCAACTTTGTAAAATTGGCACATCGAGTCAGGAAATAAACAAATGTTACTTTATCCTTGCACAATCCTCATAAAGCTGAGACTTGTAGTCAGATGCCCTGGTCAGAAAGGTATTATTTTGTGAAACAGTCAGTCAAGCTAAAACCAAGGACCTAAATTTGAGCCTGGTTGCAGAATACATGTCTAAGTTGATTAATACTCTATTTATTACATTTGCAAGGCCATTATATAACTTTAGGTAGTGTAATTTAAAACATCAGTCTCTTTAATACTATTATTTCTTTTCACCATACAGAGGGGGTAGGCCCTCTGAAGATTACATTTTTAAGGTCCAATATATAACTTTTGGTTATAAAATTTTACAGCCTTCAAACTTATTAATATCATTGCTCCCATTCACCGTACTGCAAAAATGAAGAGTTTTATTTTCCCAAACTATGAAGATAGATGCTCAAGATATTTCACAGCTACTAGTCATGGGTTCTACATATAGTCTGGGAATGGACATGACTTCATTCTTTTGTGAAACAGAAGCATGTCTGTGGCTCAAAAAGAAATGAACAATTAGAAACAGCAAGTGATGACTCAGTGAATAAGTCTTTGAACCATCAGAGTCCTATATGCTGACAACTTGACAAGGTGCAAAGACAAGCATCTGAGGTGGACACTATGGAAGATTTCCCTTTCATTCTCCTAATTTTTATTATGCACCTTGAGGGAAAACTATGGTGCCAATAAAGCAGGTGGTATGCATCTTTGAAATATTACTGGTGTAATGCTGAGCCAGACATGACTGTAATGTTTTGGATAAGTATTTAAAATATATTTTACAAATATGCTGATGGCAAGTTTAGATGCTTTAAGACAACAGAGGTATATATATGTCCATGTATACAATAGGTTAATATGCAGTTATCTTCTTATACAATTTCACTAACAAATATTTTCCTTATCTGAATATGCAGTTTGATAATTTCAGATGTCACTGTCTCCTCTCTCTCTTTCTCTCTCTCTCTCTCTATATATATACACACCCACAAATATATATATGTATACGTATATACACACACAAATTCGTGATGTTTTAGTTGAGTTTTGTTATTACATAATTTACACTGTGTTGCTTTTTTATCCTTAAAAGAGATGCTACAAAGAACAACTACTCATTGCATATACTATTAATTATATACACTTATGTGGAAAGACAGATTTAAACATATTTAGAAATATCTAACTGAATGTACTGTATTTTGTAAATTGAACTGACAGGGTAAAGTACAATGTTTTTACTCCAATTTAGAGATATGTTGCCTTTTTGCTGAAAAATCTTCAATCAGTAAAAATAACAATAATATTCTGTTATACAGCAATAGTATACCAGTTGATTTCACTGGAATTTAACATGTTTATTGCAATGGTTTAAAACAAACCAAATGCATAGCTTAGGCAGTTGCTTTGATATCTGTCATGATATACATTTAATCTTCTTAGGTTTTGTCTGCAATTAAATGATAATTTGTATTAAAACTGTGGAAATAAACATGGTTTGAATGACAACATGAAACAGAACAAATAGATACATAGAACATTTGAAACATCCAGTATTACAACTATTTACATGTGGAGGCTGGCCAAATTTGACATGCTGTTTCAATAAAATATTGAGAAGAAAAAGACTAGTATCATTTCCTTTTAAAGTTTCAAATGTTCATGTTTACAAATTTGTACTGCACATTAATATGTAAACATACATTATAGTGAGCAAATGTGCAGAGAATAGTCACAAGCTCTAACTAAGTTGAAATCTAGCTACATATTCATTGGCTTTGTTTTTTTTAAGTACATAAAATAGTTACATAATTTAAAGTTAAATATAATAGAAAATCTTAGAATCACAGTACAATACATTGTATTATTAAACTTTTAAATCAAATTATTATATTTTAGTTGTTGCTAAAGATGACAGAATTTTGCTCTGGATTTAAGATCACATACCTATGCACATAATAAAGCATAACAGAATATTTTGCTTGTAGAAAATAGTATAAATAATTTAGAATTTAACTAGAGCTAAAAGCGAACAAAATAAGTTTATAATGATTAAAAGTCATTGTCTTTAAAGATTTTTAAGTGAGTATAGTGAATTGAATACTTCAGTTTATCTTTTCCCTTTCAATCTTTCATGTTGATGTATTAGTACTTTACCTTTATTTTAATTTTGCCTGAAATTGAGTTTTCATATTTATTTTGTGACATAAAGATTTTGTGACTGTTCTACCAATTACATTAATGTCTGATCGTATTGATTTTCTACTTTATTGATTTCTGTAAGTTCTAGAAAAAATGTTTCACAAAAACAACAACAAATTAGATTACTTCTTGGAAGAGACATTGGTTTCTCAGTAAGATTCAAGTTTAAGTAGAAAAGTTACTCCCTGCTGCATCTACACTGACACTGTATCTGGCTTTCTTTAAGGGAGCCTATACACAGGCAAAAATGGTGTTTGTTACAAATAGAGCTATGTTTTACAAAACTCAGGTTGGATCTTCTTTAAATTATGATGCTAGGCAGGAAAAAGTATTGTTTGAAAAAAGTATCATCACTTTGTAACCTGTCACCATGATGCTTTTCTAAAATTGTACATTATTGTGATGCAAGGGT